TTGACCGAAGACTTGGGGGACTACTGTTTGTACCATACCTAGGGCCTCCGTATTTAGATCTCGTATAAATACTCGGGGGACTTAAATGTAATTATGTAATTATGTAATAAAGGAAGGGGCAAATATGTAATAAGTGAGGAACCCTTGTTCTATAAAAGGACTCATCACCCTCACAATTAGGAGAGGCCATTTCTGGAGCCTTCTCACCCCTTTCACACCTCTTCTTATTGTAGAGGTTCTTTCCTTCACCTCTCAGATAAATACATAATCAGTGTGGACGTAGCCCAAACCTTAGGGTGAACCACGATACATCTTGTGTTATTTACATTTCTTGTAGATTCACGGTCGGATTTACATTGTTCCAAGACCTCCAGTTTTGTGCATCAACATACTTCTTGGCGTCATAAACATTTATCAGTGGCTTTTCGACACCTTTCAACAGGTATCCTCCTTTCCAGAATGCGAAAATAAGAGAACTGCAGATGTAGAAAACTGTACCAGTCACCTTCGCTTGGCCTCGAGCGTTTCTAATCTTCAATTTCTCTATCCCGAGAAGAACTGTAAACGACGAAGACGGTCTGATTGAGTCCCTCTTGGAGGGATAATTTTATGAGGATGTCTGATCCGGCGTAGATCAGCTGAACCAGTACCATTACCGAGTAATGAGTGCACCCTTCCATAGGTATCAACGTTTCTTGTGCTATTTTGAAATGTGGATTCGTTTCTTTTGATGATTTTCTCTCTCCATTGGTGGATCTGGGCTTCATAAAACACTAATCTGGGTCAAGGCGTTTGCGACCTCGGTTGGAAGCGCTCCGATGTCATCCTCTCCTTCTTTATAAGTCTGATGGACACGTGCTCGGTTTTATCTGGACCGTTGAGGAGGATAAACTGGTCTCTCTGAAATCACTGGTTGCAAATCGAGTAGGATCTCGGGTTGTGCAGATTCACGGTGGATCTTGTGGTAAGGTCTCATGGTGGTGAGATGAAAAAATGAAAGAGAATCGACATAGCTTTTCTTGTCGATTCCCACAGACAGCGCCAAATGTTGATGCACAAAACCGAAGGTCTTGGAACAACGTAAATCCTACCGTGAATCTGCAAGAAATGTAAATAACACAAGATGTATCGTGGTTCACCCCAAGGTTTGGGCTACATCTACACTGATTATGTATTTATCTAAGAGGTGAGGGAGAGAACCTCTGCAATGAGAGGAGATATGAGAGGGGTGAGAAGGCTCCAGAAATGGCCTCTCCAAATTGTAAGAGTGAAAAGTCCTTTTACAGAATAAGGGCTCCTCACTTATTACATATTTGCCCCTTCCTTTATTACATAATTACATTTAATTCCCCGAGTATTTATACGAGATCTAAATATGGAGGCCCTAGGTATGGTACAAACAAAGTATATTGGCAAGACCAAGCCTGTTCACGAAAACTGGATCAAGGGTTCTGCTCTTATTCTGATTAGCCACAGTGCATGGCTAATCCTCTAGTTTAACAGGACCCTAAAATCAGTCGGAAACCTCAAACTGATCAGATCTCTATTTTCTCGAGCTCGCCACTTCAGCTCCACCTCCACCGCTGTCACCGAGCTGCCCCAATCCGATGCTCCATCTTCGTCATTCACCTTCTTCTCCGAAGGAAAAGAAAACAAGAACAATAGCAGGGCCCACGATGATAGCATATACTTCAAGTCATTGTCGAGTTCGAGCTCCAAGAGCTAAACGGCGTCGTCGGTGACGATGCCAATGTCGTTCATGACGGGGCCCATTATGAGAAAGAGACATTACTAAAACAAATAGATGGCTGTGAATTGGTAGCAATTGACGCCATTGCATCATCAACACATGTTAATAATTGCTATCGAAATTTTTGCGGGAAGTTACAAATTGAAGAAGCAATCGAGTTGATCAGACTCGAAGAAGATATACAGGTGGATAGATGGGGTTTGGTTGAAGGCAGTCATGACGTTGGTGCAGAGAATGAGTGGAGAGATAAAGAAAAGCAAATGGGTGGTGTCTATCCAAACAGTTGTCATTCTAAAGAAAAGCAAGGAAAGCAATGACAATTAAAAGCTTAAAGTCAGATGGTCTCCAAAGGCCATAGAACATGGGTGGACAGATATAATCGCGGAAGACCAGAGATAATTGTGGGGGACTCGTGGACCATGCAGAAAGGAAAAGAATAAAGGAAAAGAAAAAGTAAAAGCAAAAGCTTCTACAGTCATCTGCCATTCCACTACCCAACCTTGAATTGTGCAGATATTATCCCATTATCCAACCATCTGCCATACCCACCTTCTACAGCAGTATTTCTAAATGATGTAATTTATTTTTCTTATCTTTCGGCGACATCTATGTAAACCCCATCAGAGGGTAATAATAGTAAAAAAAAACAAAACAACAACAAAGCCCAAAATAAATGGGCTGGCATGTTGTGGAGGGCGAAGGCCCATAAGCCCAAAATAGCACCAACCAGGTGATCAAAAGTACGCCTAGTACTCCAAAATTATTCGGCAACCTGCCGCTATTATCACCAACCAGGTGATCAAAAGTACGCCCAATACTCCAAAATTATTTGGCAACCTGCCGCTATTACCACCAACCAGGTGATCAAAAGTACGCCTAGTACTTCAAATTATTCATGAGCATTACTAATGTCAATCATACATAAACATTCATGAGCATCACTCATGACAACATTCATGAGCATCACTCATGTCAACATCCATGAGCATCACTCATGTCAATCAACATAAGCATCCATGAGCATCACTCATGTCAATAAGCTTCAAAAGCTTCATTCACAGTGCTCTATCTTCGAAAAGCTTCATTTACAGAGCTTTAGCTTCAAAAGTTTCATTTACAGAGCTCTAGCTTCAAAAGCTTCAATTACAGAGCTCTAGCTTCAAAAGCTTCAATTACAGAGCTTTAGCTTCAAAAGCTTCTTTTACAGAGCTCTAGCTTCAAAAGGCTCAATTACAGAGCTCTAGCTTCAAAAGCTTCTTTTACAGAGCTCTAGCTTCAAAAAGCTTCAATTACAAAGCTCTAGCTTCAAAAGCTTCATTTACAAAGTTCCAACTTCGAAAGCTTCATTTATAGAGCTCTAGCTTCAAAGCTTCACTTGCAAAGCTTCACCTGCAAAGCTTCAGTGTAGGGTATACAAATACCGCCTCCAGACAACCGCCAATTCGGCCCACATATGGATTCAATTTGAAGTCTCCAACCAACAGACTTTATTGACCGAAGACTTGGGGGACTACATTATGTATCATATATTGGGCCTCAACTGGGCCTCATGAAAAATACAAAATACTTGGGGGACTTAACCCATCACTTATGTATTGAGGAGCGAGCCCTTATTTTATAAAAGGGACTCCCTCACTTTCATTAAAGAGCACTCATGAAAAATACTTGGGGCGCCAAATGTTGATGCACAAAACTGGAGGTCTTGGTACAATGTAAATCTGACCGTGAATCTGCAAGAAATGTAAATGACACAAGATGTATCGTGGTTCACCCAAGGTTTAGGCTACGTCCACACTGATTATTGTATTTCTGAGAGTATTAAGGATGAGAGAGCTTCTGAGGATGAGAGGGCCTAGGAATTGGCCTCAGAAATGGTCTCTCATCCTCAATACTCTCATAAATACAATAATCAGTGTGGACATAGCCCAAACCTTGGGGTGAACCACGATACATCTTGTGTCATTTACATTTCTTGCAGATTCACGGTCGGATTTACGTTGTACCAAGACCTCCGGATTTGTGCATCAACATTTGGTGCCGTCTGTGAGAAGCAACACAAAAAACTATGTCGGTTATCTTTCATCAAATCTCACCACTATAAATCTACAAAAACCATAAAAATTTCTGATCTCTGTGGCTGCTCAAAGTTGTTGCTCAAAATTTCAGATGAGCCAACTTTCTTTTCAGTCTCTATCTCTATTTTCTTCCACCCAGCAAATTAGCCAAGCCATATCACGTTTCAATTCACTGAATCCCTTATTTCCTGGATCAGAAGTTAGCAAAACCCAAAAACCCAGGGCTGTCCGTTTCCCTGGTTGCGCTGCCTCCCTCCCCCTCCCTTTCTCAGTTTTCTCTCACTATTTTCCAGGAAAATCACTTTCTCGCTTACTTTCTGGGAAAATTGACACCAAGAAGTAGCAGGGCATAGAAAACGTTATTGACCTTTTCTCCCCTTCCCTCTTCCAGTCTTTCTCCTCCCCAGTCTCGAAACGATGTCGTCTTCAGACCTTAGAGGAAAACATCAGTCTCTCTTTTACTCCTGGATCCAAATCCTATGTTAGTTTCCTAATCAAACTCTCGAATACGAGATTATGATTCCTGAAACGACTCAAATTCTAAGCACATATTTGACAAAGCCTCATGCCGTCCTGCTCTGCTCCCAGGAAATCTAGCAAGGCTCTCCCGAAGATGTTCTACGGGACCAGATTGAGGGCGTCCGGATCTGAAAGGCTCCATTTATGGTGCTCCGACGGTCCCGGTCGCTCGTCGAAGCTCCGAGTCATCGTACGCAACATGCTCTCCACCGTTCCAGATAAGCCCCTAGGGTTATACGACCTGTCGTTCAATAAGGGCTCGTGTGGTGTCAGCTTCGTCGTTGAATTGTTCACCGAAGTCAGCCTCAAAACGATTACGGATGCAATTGAAATGCTGGTGTGGATGACGCACAGATGGGCGTGTGGGTGTGAAACGAATACTGGTGATGAAGATGGGATTCTCGTTGGTGTTCCTTACGGCTTCTACAAGGAGGTAACCAAAGATGCTGGGTTTGATATTCCACCGACATGGGAGTACGCTATTGGAATGTTATTCTTGCCCACCTCTGAAAGCTGAAGAGAACAAAGCAAAAAAGTATTTGTAAAGGGGAGTAGGGTGTCTTGAGAAATTCCCCTCGACACCTCCGTTATCTCCAAGGGCGTTTTCGAATTCTGCCAGGGACTCAATGAAGTAGACCGTTTCTACTATGCTAGGGTTACTCCCGTCCGATCAGTTCTCCATCACCGTTAGGGTTTGCAAAGCCCCTCTCCACTGCCTCCTCGCATCCTCCATAATCATCGAACATACACTGTGGAACACGAAGTATCAAATATCGTTGATGAGGAATTTCGACATATCCACGGATAATTCTGTGTCGTTGGATCGGTAAGAGATAGATGGGGCAGTGAGTACCGCATCGATGGGCCGTCTGTGACGTGGGAAGAGTACAGTGCAAAGCTCAGATCTCTCTCTCTGTCATCCCATCATATTGACAGACTAGAGTACACTAGCTTATGTTTAAACAGCAGAAAAAGAAAAAGGATAAGGCATATATACCAAAGCTGCTTATATTGGTGCGAATCTTGTCGGCAAGGTTGAAAGAAATATTCCTGAGAATGACCCAAGAAACCCTGCTGTGATAGCTGATAATGTCGGAGACAATTTTGGAGATATAACTGGGAAAAGAGAAAGCAAAAGAGAAAGCAAAAGCAAGGAATAAACACCCCACCAGAATGATGTGATTTACTTTTCTTGTTTTTGTATGATGTAATTTATTTTTTCGTATCTTTCAGAGACATCTATATAAACCCCATCAGAGGGTAATTAAAAAAAAAAAAAAAACATCAAAGCCCAAAATAAATGGCCTGGAATACTATGTGGTGAGCGAATGCACGTATGCCCAAAAGAGCCAGGCCCTCTATTATCACCAACCAGGTGATCAAAAGTACGCCCAGTACTACAAAAAATTATTCGGCACCCTGCCGCTATTACCACCAACCAGGTGATCAAAAGTACGCCCAGTACTCCAAAATTATTCGGCAACCTACCGTTATTACCACCAACCAGTTGAAGAAATGTACAACCCGTACTCTGATATCATTTGGGAACTAGCCATTCAGGCCACCAACCAGGTGATGAAATGTACAACCCGTACTCTTCTTCATGCCACCAACCAGGAGATCAAAAGTACGCCCAGTACTTCATATTATACAGGAGCATTACTCATGTCAATCATACATAAACATTCATGAGCATCACTCATATCAATCATACATAAGCATTCATGAGCATCACTCATGTCAACATTCACGACCATCATTCATATCAACATTCATGAGCATCACCCACGTTAACAATCATGAGCATCACTCATGACAACATCCATGAGCATTGATGCGATGAAAGTTAAGCACTCAAATTAAACCATCTTATTGTCAAATTGTAGTATAAATGCAAGTAGGGATCGTTCTAAACCAGGGATTAGGAGGGCTTGCTAAAACCTCTAAACTGACTTAAAAACATATAAACAAAGTTAAAAACACTAAACTAGACTCAAAGAACTTAAAACAAACTCAAAGGATTCAAAACAAGCTAAAAACGCTCAATCTGCCTAAAAACACAAACTGGGCAAATTTGGACTCTAACACACTTTTGGGACACCTAAAAACACAAATCAAAATATATTTTGACTAATAAAACACTTTAAAGTAAAGGGGGTTTTGGGTTTGACGAATTTGAAAACAAAACAAGTAAATTAAAGAACTAATGAAATCTGCACGAATTTGAGTAAATTGAATGGATGGAAGGCTAGCTAGGAGGTTCTTCTCCACACATGACATACTTGCACATAAACCAATTTTCAGTTGTTCTTTCGATCAATCATGAAACTCAACACCCCAGGTTAATTAAGTCCGCTTAAATTAACCTTCAAGTTCTCCTTAAGTTATTGAATTGGATGGGAAAGCGCATACAACAATTCAAGCATTCTTCAAAAGTTCTTTACGTGAACAACACAATAAAGATACAATCAAAGATCATTAAGCATTATGAAAACTATAAGTATTGACGAGGCATTCATTACTATGATGAGCATGAAACTCCTGCCAAGAATTTATTTAACGCGATCGTTTATAAGCGACCTCCACTACTTGTGAATATAAATATGTAACTATTAGGTGAAACTCCCTTATACCCTAGCATCATATTCATGCATGCAAACTAAGTGTGCACTCTTAATAAACATACACGAATAAGTTATCAATCAAGCAGTTAAACAAATTGAATTCACAACTTATGAAATCACAACTGAAGGTAATCAAATCATATTGCAAGCATGAACATGGTTTCGAATTCCCCCTAGCTAAGGGGGGATTAGTTCCTCATACTCATAAAACAAAGATAAACAAATTTAGACATTGAAAACAAAAGAATGAAAACACCTAACAACGCTCCAACAATCCAACTTGAATGGTAAGCACGTCCAAGGGTCCTCCTTCTTCTCTTTGTTGCGGCACAAAGTGTGGTTTAATGGATGAGTGGTAAATTATGGTGGTGGATGGATATAGGTGAGTTATGGTGAAGGGTGGATGGGTGGATTGTCTTCTCCCCTTTGTTATGATGAAGGGTGGATGTATTTATAGGCTAGGGAGAGGACCACCATCTAATTAAGGTGGTAGTGATGAGTGTTGTGGTAATGAGTGGATGTAATGGGTGTGGTGGATGAATGTTTGGTAATGAGTGGATGTAATGGTTGTAGTGGGTGGATGTTTGGTAATGAGTGGATGTAATGGGTGTAGTGGATGAGTGTTTGGTAATGAGTAGTGTTTGGTAATGAGTTGATGTAATGGGTGTAGTGGATGAGTGTTTGGTAATGAGTGGATGTAATAGGTGTAGTGGATGGATGTTTGGAGTTGTAAGTCAACACACTTGCACACACACATGCTGATTTTTAGCCTTCAAATCTTCAAAAACGTCCATCCTTATATCTCCATGCTTGCACTATCCAATCTTGGCCCAAAAAATGCTCCAAAATGCTCCAAATAGCACTTTGTTGCTAACTTTGTTATTTGAACCTACAAACACATGAAAATAGCTTAGAGTACTAAAATAACTAGAATTACACTAAGTAAATGCCAAGAAACAAGCTAACTAAGTTGCATAAATATGCTCCTATCAAGCATCACTCATGTCAATCAACATAATCATTCATGGGTATCACTTATGTCAATCAGCTTCAAAAGCTTTATTTACAGAGCTCTAGCTTCAAAAGTTTCATTTACAGAGCTTTAGCTTCAAAAGCTTCATTTACAAAAGCTCTAGCTTCGAAAGCTTCATTTACAGAGCTCTAGCTTCAAAGCTTGACTTGCAAAGCTTCACCTACAAAGCTTCAGTGTAGGGTATACAAATACCGCCTTCGAACAACCACCACTTCGGCCCATACATGGATTCAATTTGAAGTCTCCAGCCAACATACTCTATTGACCAAAGATTTGGGGGACTACATTATGTGCCATATATTGGGCCTCAACTAGGCCTCATGGAAAATACTTAGGGGACTCTAGCCCATCATTCATGTATTGAGGAGCGAGCCCTTATTCTATCAAAGGGACTCCCTCACCACCATTAGAGAGCATTAACTCTAGCCCGTATTTATGTATTAAGGAGCGAGCCCTTATTTTATAAAAGGGATTCCCTCACCATCATTAGAGAGGATCAACTCTGGCCCATCATTCATTTATTGAAAAGCGAGCCCTTATTCTATAAAAGGGACTTCCTCACCGTCAAACGCCACAAACCGAGCCAACCAAGGCAACATAAGCCACGAGCCTCACAACCTCGTTGCGTGTGCTACTTCTAGTTGAGCATCATTTCATATTGAGCACCACCTCATATCGAGCATCAGTTCAAGACAACATCTAGTTACTTTGGCCCACACATGGACTGAATTTCAAGTCTTCAGCCAAAAGACTCTCTTGACTGAAGACTTGGGGGACTATTGTTTATACCATATTTAGGGTCTCGTATTTAGACCTCGTATAAATACTCGAAGGACTTAAATGTAATTATGTAATAAAGGAAGGGGTAAATATGTAACAAGTGAGGAGTCCTTATTCTATAAAATGACCCATTACCCTCACAATTAGGGGGAGCCATTTGAGAAGCCAATTTCTAAGGCTCCTCACCCCCTCAAGCTCTCACTCTCATTCAGAGCTCTCTCCTTCAGAAATATAATCAATGTAGACGTAGCCCAAACCTTGGAGTGAACCACGATACATGTTGTGTTATTTACATTACATGCAGATTCACAGTCGGATTTACGTTGTTCCAAGACTTCCGGTTTTGTGCATAGGGCCTAGGAATTGGCCTCAGAAATGGCCTCTCTTAATTGTGAGGATGAGGGGTCCTTTTATAGAATAAGGACTCATCACTTATTACATATTTGCCCCCTCCTTTATCACATAATTACATTTAAGTTCCCCGAGTATTTGTACAAGATCTAAATACGAGGCCCTAAATATAGTATAAACAGTAGTCCTCCAAGTCTTCAGTCAAGAGAGTCTTTTGGCTGGAGACTTAGAAATTCAGTCCATGTGTCGGCCGAAGTAACTAGATGTTGTCTTGAACTGATGTTCGATATAAGGTGGTGCTTAATCTGAAATGATGCTCAACTAGAAGTAGCACATGCTGCGAGGTTACTCAGCTCGTGGCTTATGTTGCCTTGGTTGGCTAGGCTTGTGGCGTTGAAAGTGAGGGAGTCCCTTTTATAGAATAAGGGCTCCCTCCTCAATACATGAATGATGGGCTAGAGTTGATGCTCTCTTAATGATGGTGAGGGAGTCTTTTTTATAAAATAAGGGCTCGCTCCTCAGTACATGAATAATGGGTTAAGAGTGATCCTTGTGGCGAGGCGGTTGCTCAGCTGGCGGCGATGCTCTCTAATGATGGTGAAGGAATCCCTTTTATAGAATAAGGGCTCGCTCCTCAATACATAAATATGGGCTAAAGTTGATGCTCGCGGCGAGGCGCTTGCTCAATAGGCGGCGATGCTCTCTAATGATGGTGGGGGAGTCCCCTTTATAGAATAAGGGTTCGCTCCTCAATACATAAATAGGGCTAGAGTCCCCCAAGTATTTTTCATGAGGCCCAGTTGAGGCCTAATATATGGTACACAATGTAGTCCCCCAAATCTTCGGTCAATAGAGTCTGTTGGCTGGAGACTTCAAATTAAATCTATGTATGGGCCGAAGTGGTGGTTGTTCGAAGGTGGTATTTGTATACCCTGCACTGAAGCTTTGTAGGTGAAGCTTTGCAAGTGAAGCTTTGAAGCTAAAGCTCTGTAAATGAAGCTTTCGAAGCTAGAGCTTTTGTAAATGAAGCTTTTGAAGCTAGAGCTCTGTAAATGAAACTTTTAAAGTTAAAGCTCTGTAAATGAAACTTTTAAAGCTGATTGACATGAGTGATGCCCATGAATGTTTATGTTGATTGACATGAGTGATGCTCATGGATGTTGTCATGAGTGATGCTCATGATTGTTAACATGAGTGATGCTCATGAATGTTGATATGAATTATGGTCATGAATGTTTATGTATGATTGTTATGAGTGATGCTCATGAATGTTTATGTATGAATGACATGAGTAATGCTCATGTATAATTTAGAATATTAGGCGTACTTTTGATCACCTGGTTGGTGGCATGAAGGAGAGTACGGGTTGTACATTTCATCACCTGGTTGGTGGTAATAGCGGTTGGTTGCCGAATAATTTTGGAGTACTGGGCGTACTTTTCATCACCTGGTTGGTGATGATAGCGGTAGGTTGCCGAATAATTTTGGAGTAATGGGCGTACTTTTCATCACCTGGTTGGTGATGATAGTGGCAGGTTGCCGAATAATTATGGAGTACTGGGCGTACTTTTGATGACCTGGTTGGTGTTATTTTGAGCTTATGGGCTTTTGCCCTCCACACAACATTCCAGCCCATTTATTTTGGGCTTTGCCTTTTTTTTTTTTTTTTTTTTTTTACCCTCTGATGGGGTTTATACAGATGTTTTCGAAAGATAAAATTAAATTACATCATACAAAAATAAGAAAAGCAAATCACATCATTCTGATGGGGTGTTTATTCTTTGCTTTTGATTTCTTTTTTGCTTTCCTAGTGACATGATGGCTGGATTGTTTGACTGGTGTGCAATTGGCACATGTTATCTCCACAAATTTCTTCAGACATTTTCCTTCTCCTCCTTTTTCTTTTCACTACGTTTTTTCTGCTTTGCTTTTGCTTTCCCATGTACTCTCGCAGACAATGGGTTGAGAGAACACTGTTGTAAGGCTATCTTTTGCTTTTACTTTCTTTGCTTTTGCTTTCTCTGCTGCATGGTCCACGAGTCCCCCACCCAATGTTCATAATATTCTCCCACACTAAGCCCATGAGCTTTCTTTAATAGCCTTTATTGCCCCTGCCACTCACAATACTTTTGGTCAGGAACGGCATCTCTCCAGTACCGTCATCTCTCCACCATCAGGGCCCCAGTCGAGGGCGTGCTCAGTGCACACAGCAGTACCACATGAAAACTGCGAGGCATCGTTGGCACTGATGCCATACCATCCGTTCTGGTTCGTGCTTTCGTCATGCCAACTATCGCCCTGCAACGGCATAGCCTAAAAGATTTGGGGTTTTCAGGCCACAAGTTGAGCTTATGGTTATCTTGTGGATACACCAAAAGGTATAGTCTATCACTCCACTCCAGTGTTTGTTGCTCTGAAAAAAAAACCATGTCGTTTCCATATCCTTGAATGTCGTTGACTTGTCTCAAGTACTTCTTCTTATCTTCCACTGGAAGTGCAAAAAATTGCTTTGCAATTTCTCGGACCTCGTCTAGGTATTTCGACGACATACCTTGGTTTATTACCTGGAAGCAACCCCATGTGGCAAGAGCTGATCTAAGCTTCTCAAGTTCATCGGCAGAGATTGAAAAAGCTGCGAGGAGAGCAAGATCAATAACTGGAACATCTATTAACTGGGCAGCAGAAGCATCTGGGACTTGGACTCCACCATTTTCAACTTTATGGATATATTTCTCTGGCACCTGTTCCCCTTGGATGAGCACTTCCTGGACAGTTTTGGATCCTAATAACTCCATCGTTGCAAGTTTTGGTAATTTTGAGCTGCAAATTAAAGATCTGCAAACTGGGCGAGTATATCAATAGCACAATAGAGATCGTCGTTAACTTTGTGCGTGCCTTTGGGGATGAGGCTGGCGATGCCATTGAACTTCAAGATACTGAGCCCAACACACGTGGCGATCTTACCAAGATACGCGTCGATAGTCTTTACAACTCTAATCATCGTCGCCAAGCAAAACCTCCCTAAAATCACCGATGTTGAAGACCGTAACACTCTTTTCGTAGGTGAATGACAGGACCAGGAGGTCGTCGATGGTCATGAGCTCCAGGACCGCCAAGATTGACCTCTCGAGCTAGGTATTGTACGTGTTCGAATCCTTGACGAAGATCGTAAATCTGAAAAGGCAGTAGAGAGAGTTAATCGGGAGATTGGCTTTCTCAGTCGGTAAGATCTCAACGATCGATTCCAGAAGCTCCAGTTGTTGGAGACTTGAAATTCGGAGTCGTCAGAACCTGCCAATTTCGCAACGGTTTCAAAGTGGTCTTGGACGATGTTGTTCTTTTTTAGGCTTTTGAAAGTTTTTCGAGTATAGACCTTGCTCTCCGTGAACCTTTGTTTCTCTCTGGCTCCATCACCTTCTCCTACTGTAGGCCCTGAAGCCAACACCTTGACAGTATAGATCTAATGGATGGCTGAGATCAGTTTGAGGTCAATGCTCAATTGGTTGTGTTATCTGTCTCTGTGATTTGCTTGTGGATTTGGAGGCTATTGGTCAACGGATTCAAGAGAGATGCACCTAAGTTTCTCGTTTTCTTTATAGATTGAATAGGTGTGTCTCTGAATGTGGGTGTCGAGTTTCTGCAAATTCACGGCGGAGGTAAAAAATTGAAAGAGAACCGACACAACTTTTTATATCATTTCCCACAGACGGTGCCAAATGTTGATGCACAAAACCGAAGGTTTTGGAACAACGTAAATCCGACCGTGAATCTGCAAGTAATGTAAATGACACAAGATGTATCATGGTTCACCCCAAGGTTTGGGCTACGTCTACACTAATTATTGTATTTCTGAGAATATTGAGGATGAGAGAGCTTCTGAGGATGAGAGGGCCTAAGAATTGGCCTCAGAAATGGCCTCTCCTAATTTTGAGGGTGAGGGGTCTTTTTATAGAATAAGGGCTCCTCACTTATTACACATTTGCCCCCTCCTTTATCACATAATTACATTTAAGTCCCCGAGTATTTGTACAAGATCTAAATACGAGGCCCTAAATATGACTGTTTGTACCATACTTAGGGCCTCCGTATTTAGATCTCGTATAAATACTCGAGGGACTTAAATGTAATTATGTAATAAAGGAAGGGGCAAATATGTAATAAGTGAGGAGCCCTTATTCTATAAAAGGACTCATCACTCTCATAATTAGGAGAGGCCAATTCCTAGACCCTCCCACCCCCTCTCAACGCTCTCACTCTCAGAGCTCTCTCTCCCTCAAATAAATACAATCAGTGTGGACGTAGCCCAAACCTTGGGGTGAACTATGATACATCTTGTGTTATTTACATTTCTTGCAGATTCACGGTCGGATTTACGTTGTTCCAAGACCTCCGGTTTTATGCATCAACATTTGGCGTCATCTTTGGGAATCGACATGAAAAGCTATGTCAGTTCTCTTTCATTTTTTCATCTCACCATCGTGAGACCTCACCATAAGATCCATCGTGAATCTGCACAACCTGAGATCCTACTCGATCTGCAACTAGGGTTTTTAGAGAGACCAGAATCTGCAGATGCACAGGAGACGCCACCAAGCCACCAACCAGTTTATCCTCCTCAACGGTCCGGATAAAACTGAGCACGCGTCCATCGGACTTATGAAGGATGAGAGGATGACATTGAGAACTTCCAGCCGAGCTCGCAAACGCCTTGACCCAGATCCGTGTTTTATGAAGCCCAGATCCACCATTAAAGAGAGAAAATCATCAGAATAAACGAATCCACATTTCAAATTAGCACAAGAAAAGTTGATACCCATGGAAGGGTGCATTCATTACTTAGCAATGGTACTGGTTCAGCTGATCTACACTGGATCAGACATCCTCATAAAATTATCCCTCCAAGAGGGACTCAATCTGACCGTCTTCGTCGTTTACAGTTCTTCTCGGGATGGAGAAATTGAAGATTAGAAGCGCTCGAGGCCAAGCGAAGGTGGCTGATATAGTTTTCTGCATCTGTAGTTCTTTTATTTTCGTATTCTAGAAAGGAGGATACCTATTGAAAAGTGTCGAAAAGCCACTAGTAAATGTTTACGACGCCAAGAACTATATTGGCAAGACCAAGCCTGTTCACGCAAACTGGATCAAGGGTTCTGCTCTTATTCTTATTAGCCATAGTGCATGGCTAATCCTCCAGTTTAAACAAGACCCTAAAATCAGTCAGAAACCTCAAACTGATCAGATCTTTCTCTTCTCGAGCTCGCCACTTCAGCTCCACCTTCACCGCCGTCGTCAAGCTACCCCAATCCGATGCTCCATCTTCGTCATTCACCTTTTCCTCCGAAGGAAAAGAAAACAAGAACAACAGCAGGGCCCACGATGACAGCATATACGTCAAGTCATCATCGAGTTCGAGCTCCAAGAGCTAAGCAGCGTCGTCAGTGACGATGCCAATGTCGTTTATGACGAGGTCCATTGTGAGAAAGAGAGACCTTACTAAAACAAATAGATGGATGTGAATTGGCAGCAATTGAAGCCATCGCATCATCAGCACACTCGTTAATAATTGCTATCGGAATTTTTCGCGGGAAGTTACAGATTGAAGAAGCAATCAAGTTGATCAGACACACGAAAAAGATATACAGGTAGATATATGGGCTTTGGTTGAAGGTAGTCATGATGTTGGTGCAGAGAAAGAGTGGAGAGATAAAGAAAAGCAAATGGGTGGTGTCTGTCCAAACAACTGTCATTCTAAAGAAAAGCAAGGAAAGCAATGACAATTAAAAGCTTAAAGTCAGATGGTCTCCAAAGGCCAAAGAACATGGGTGGACAGATATAATTGCGGAAGACCAGAGATAATTGTGGGGGACTCGTGGACCATGCAGAAAGGAAAAGAAAAGGTAAAAGCAAAAGCTTATGCAGTCATCTGCCATTCCACTACCCAACCTTGAATTGTGCAGATACTATCCCATTATCCAACCATCTGCCACACCCACCTTCTATAGCAGTATTTTTAAATGATGTAATTTATTTTTCTTATCTTTCGGAGACATCTATGTATACCCCATCAGAGGGTAATAATAGTAACACAAAAAAAAAACCAGCAAAGCCCAAAATAAATGGGCTGGCATGTTGTGGAGGGCAAAGGCTCATAAGCCTAAAATAGCACCAACCAGGTGATCAAAAGTATGCCTAGTACTCCAAAATTAATCGGCAACCTGCTGCTATTATCACCAACCAGGTGATCAAAAGTACGCATAGTACTTCAAAATTATTCGGCAACCTGCCGCTATTATCACCAACCAAGTGATCAAAAGTACGCTTAGTACTCCAAAATTATTTGGCAACCTGCCACTATTACCACTAACCAGGTGATTAAAAGTACGCCCAGTACTTCAAATTATACATGAGCATTATTCATGTCAATCATACATAAACATTCATGAGCATCACTCATATCAATCATACATTAACATTCATGAGCATCACTCATGACAACATTTATGAGCATCACTCATGTCAACATCCATGAGCATCACTCATGTCAATCAACATAAGCATTCATGAGCACCACTCATGTCAATCAGCTTCAAAAGCTTCATTCACAGCGCTCTATCTTCGAAAAGCTTCATTTACAGAGCTCTAGCTTCAAAAGCTTCATTTACAGAGCTCTAGCTTTAAAAGCTTCAATTACAAAGCTCTAGCTTTAAAAGCTTCAATTACAGAGCTCTAGCTTCAAAAGCTTCATTTACAAAGCTCTAGCTTCAAAATGCTTCAATTACAAAGCTCTAGCTTCAAAAGCTTCATTTACAAAGCTCCAGCTTCGAAAGCTTCATTTATAGAGCTCTAGCTTCAAAGTTTCACTTGCAAAGCTTCACCTACAAAGCTTCAGTGCAGGGTATACAAATACCGCCTCCAGACAACCGCCACTTCGGCCCACACATGGATTCAATTTGAAATCTCCAGCCAACAGACTCTATTGACCGAAGACTTGGGGGACTACATTATGTACCATATATTAGGCCTCAACTAGGCCTCATGAAAAATACAAAATACTTGGGGGACTTAACCCATCACTTATGTATTGAGGATCGAGCCCTTATTTTATAAAAGGACTCCCTAACTTTCATTAGAGAGCACTCATGAAAAATACTTGGGGTGTCAAATGTTGATGCACAAAACCAGAGGTCTTGGTACAACTTAAATCCGACCGTGAATCTGCAAGAAATGTAAATGACACAAGTTGTATCGTGGTTCACCCCAAGGTTTGGGCTACGTCCACACTGATTATTGTATTTCTGAGAGTATTGAGGATGAGAAAGCTTCTAAGGATGAGAGGGCCTAGGAATTGGCCTTAGAAATGGTCTCTCATCCTCAATACTCTCAGAAATACAATAATCAGTGTGGACGTAGCACAAACTTTGGGGTGAACCACGATACATCTTGTGTCATTTACATTTCTTGCAGATTCACGGTCGGATTTACGTTATACCTAGACCTCCGGTTTTGTGCATCAACATTTGGCTTCATCTGTGGGAAGCGACAGAAAAAACTATGTCGGTTCTCTTTCATCAAATCTCACCATCGTAAATGGGTGGTGTCTGTCCAAACAGCTGTCATTCTAAAGAAAAGCAAGGAAAGCAATGACAATTAAAAGCTTAAAGTCAGATGGTCTCCAAAGGCCATAGAACATGGGTGGACAGATATAATTACGGAAGACCAGAGATAATTGTGGGGTACTCGTGGACCATGCAGAAGGAAAGGAAAAAAAAAGTAAAAGCAAAAGCTTCTGCAGTTA